GTTGCATTAGATTGTTGCCCCTCTTTTTATGTATAAGCAATCTGGGTTAAACCCCAACCTCCAGCTTACAACAAGTGCCTTCCACTCGTGTCACAGGTTTGAACCTAAATGGTTGGTCTCTATACAATTCAAAGCCAACTCTAATCTATTTCCCCAAAAAACTGATGCAGGATAACATTATTTTAGCTTTTAAGTTTTGTTTAAACAGATATATATTTTAATTTTACTTTAAGGATCTATTTTTAGGGTTTTTAAGTTTTTTAGGGATTCTAGATTTTTTTTAATATTTTTTATTCACTACTCACAGGATACTATTTATAGTTGTTGTTCATGGGTATTGTTCACATGCTACAGTTCATGGGGTAATTCTGAAATTTTAGTATTGCTTAGGGATATTTTAGAATCTTAAATATTTACTTGGGTCTCAAGTTAGTTTAGGGTTCTACAGGCTTATAAAAGGTTAGCTGTCAAATTTTGGGATGCTCATGTTATTTGGAAAGAATTTTATTTTATGAAAGAAAAAAGTTTTTCCCTTGGCTTGATTTACAGTCATGCCTTTTTAACTATAATTGTTAATTTTTACTTGTTTGAGGATCAGGGATAATGTAGAATAAATTTCCCACCTTTCCTTCGTCAAGTGGTATCAGAGCTCGACTCGAAGACGGTTAGAGATTACGATCACTAGCCGTGGAGGTCTAGGCCGCAGGAAAGCCGACCTGATCTGATTGCATAATGAAATCAACAACTAGACAGTGAGGGTCACACAACTGCTGCGCAAGTGAGGCCAGCAACACTATGGCCTAAATAAGGAGGAATCTACAGGATTAGACCCAACGTGAGGGTCTTTATGGATACTGGGTGCGAACTAGAGTCTAAATTTAGGTGGTTACGGACTAATGACGTGTCAAGCTACATAGATGGGTTTGATGTGTGTGGCATCAACAGGATTATAATTTTGAAGAACAATAAAAAGGATCCAATCTTCAATTGGATTCGATATACTTTTAATTAGTAGAAGGTCCTATCTTTGGTAGTGCTCCTGTCTGTGATAGTTATCCTATTTTTGATACAAAAGCAGGTGATGCTATTTCTGAACTATTGGACAAAGTTGAAGAGAATTTGGAGAACCGATCTATGATAAGGATCAAGAGGAAGATTTTCGGAAGAAGATCTTGCTTGAGAAGAATATGGAGAGAAGGCACAGGAGGCCCAATCAAAACCATGTCCTTTTAACATCTCAAGGATATCGAAGAGGTGGAGCATTCAAGAGATTTAAAGAATTGGAATCAGAATGTGGCCGAGTCATAATGTGGCCCTAGTTTTAGAGAGTAATAAAATAAATGTTGAGAAAGCCTCTAAAGGACAGAAAATTAGGTTTAAAGTTTCCTCCCTGATTTTAAATAGGAGTTCAAGAATAGCCGAATTTGATAAATTTGCATCAATTCCTCAATATACATTTCAAAATCCGCTTCTTGAGGAATTCTTTTTACCACGGATAGAAGTTGAGCCAACACAGAAGAAGAAGGTTGAGGAAGGTGGTTTTGATGTTGAATTCATCTTAACTCACTTCAAAATTCGAGGACGAGTTTTCTCCAACTAGGAGAGAATGATGCAGGACAAAATTATTTTAATTTGTTATTTTTGTTAATTTCAAAAGGTGTATATTTTACTTCAAGTTTTAGGGTTTTTTATTTTTTCAAAGATTCTATGATTTTTTTATATTTTTATTCCCTATTCACTGGTAACTATTCATAATTATTGTTCACGACTAACTATTCATAGGGTATTTCTGAAATTTTACAATTGTTTAGGGCTATACTAGAGTCTTAAATGCTTACTTGAATCTCGAGTTAATTTTAGGGGTTCATATGTTTATAAAATGTTGACTGTCAAATATTGGGATGCTTGTATTATTTGGAACGAATTTTATTTCATGAACGAAGAAAGTTCTTCTCTGTTGGCTTGATTTACAACCATGTCTTTTCTCGATAATTGATATTTTTACTTGTTTGAGATTTATAAAAAAAGTAGACCTTTCCTTCATCAAAAAGCGAATCCAATCTAGATGCTTCATATAACACAAGAACCACTCAAATGACTAATATATGTTAATGAATAAATCTCTAAAATCTGACCTACACACATCAAATGTAGAAACTACTAATACCTATTTATAATTTCTGACATGCATCAATGGTCTTAATTTGAGAAACGACCAGACAGTGTCCACTGAAATATTTCCATGCCAATATTAGATAACCCAAAATAATGTTATTGCAATCCAAGGTCATTTAAGTGATGAAACCCATATCAATCCATTGAAGAAACAATAGCAACAGAAGCCAAAGCAAAATTCAGTGGACTAATCTTTTATATACACAAATACCTCACTAATGGCAAAAAAGCCCTTGCTAAGAAAAATTGTATTAAAAATCAAGTGTAGTAAGTGTCTAATTAATGTTGAGTAGGCTACGGGAATATTCCATGTGGAGTAGCCTAACAAAATCATATAATATATATATATATATATATATATATATATATATATATATGGTAGTAGTAGATAGTAACGTACCTACCCTACCTTAATTACTATAGTAA